ATATATATATATATATATATATATATATATATATATATATATATATATATATATATATATATATATGTATATATATATGTATATTTATTTATTTATTTATTCATTTATTTATACATATACAAATTAAGGAGCAGTTCCTAACGAAATACCCAGAATACGATGGTAGGAATATTATTATTGGCATACTGGATACAGGCATTGATCCATCACTTCCTGGATTACAGGTAGGATTTCCTAAGTTTTCCAATTTTTGGTTGTGAATAGATATGAATACAGTACTTTTGTTTTAGAATTAGATTATTTGGCTTTTCCTCAATTTAAAATCAATTAACTTTGATATAAAATTACTCGATTTTTATTGGTTTCCACCCGAAGTGATAATTTTAGTTTTATTATGAAGTTGTGTTAAAAAAAAATGTGGTACTGGATATTATTAGGTGACGAGTCATGGACTGCAAAAGGTGATAGATGTAATAGATTGTACAGGAGCCGGCGATGTGGATACATCGATAGTGCGTACAGCGATTGATGGTTATGTTATCGGACTTACAGGAAGAAAGCTAAAGGTTACAACTTCTAAATATAATAGCAAATAGGAGTTTCAATTGCGGTAGATAAATCAGAGCTGGAAAAGGAGGTTTCTGTTTCTTGAAATTTTGATGAACTTTCTTCATTAGTTTCGAAGTAATTATGATTTTAATCAGATTTCAGATTCCAGAAACTTGGGTAAATCCAAGTGGTAAATATCATCTAGGAATAAAGCCAATTTATGAACTATTCAGCAAAAATTTGTTGGAAAGAATAAAGGTAAAACATTACTTTTTGCAAGATTTGATTTTTGAAGATTTTAAATCGGATTAGATTTGTCATTGGCTTCTCAGCTTATTTCCAATTTAACAGTTAACCTCATTTTCTCGGCTAAGAGTATTTGACAAAAGAAATCTGCACTACTTAGAAATTTACATTACAATTTGTTGAATCATAAATAGGGACAGTTGTAGCACAATAGTTACGTCTTTTTTCCTTACATCCACTTCCACCCCCCTTGGTGTAATCCTGCTCTGAGAAGGATTCGTTTTCACTGAATCGTTATAGAACAAGAGATGGTTAACCACAGTTTTTTTTTCTTCTGTTGCTTAAATCTGTTATTTCTTTGCAGAAAGAAAGGAAGGAAAGTCTTTTTGAGAGCGGGCAGAAATTAGCATTGGCCGACGCAATGCGTCAACTCGTTGCGCATGAAGAAGCAGTCGGTGGAACATCCGATAAAATAGTAGGTTTTCGGCTTTATGCAAAACGAAAGTTAGGAGGATTTCCTTTTTTGAAATTTCAAATTTTGTTTGAGATGAATTTTTTTAGATTTTACTGGACGAAGATTTTATTTTCGCGATGTCAGTTTTGAGATTTCAAGTTCTATTTTACAGGGTAATTAAATGCGGTAAGAAATAGTTAGAAACAAAGAAATTATGTGCTTGTTGTGATAGAGTTAATAATGGAAAGTAAAAAATGGCAGTACAGAGCTCATTAATAGCCGTTACATGGTCATTCCTTTAGACGGTGGTTAAAAAAAAAAAAGGCAGATGAGCAAATAAAACTAGACAAACGATTATAGAAAGATTTGGGAGTTTCCCTGGAGAATTAAATTAGTTATTAATCAAAGCAAACTGGAGACATTTTATTGACAGTAGTTTCACCCTCGATTGCATGTGATCATCATCATCATCATGACACTTTCATTTCAGAGCGATAAGGAAGATAGAGAAGATCTTTCTAGTCAGGTAGAAATATTAAAAAGTTTGGAAAAAATGGACGATCCAGGACCAGTTGCAGATTGTATTGTTTTTCATGATGGCACGAAATTTAGGTATTATTAATAAAGATATTGCTCTTTATAATAACTCAGCTATCTGTGTGTAGAAACTGGATCAGGTGGCATATTTTGCAGAATGTTTGAACTGAACTGCTGTAAATGTGGGAGTTATTAAGCTTACGAATGTCGTATTGTTTCATTATGTCCATTGTTTTTTAGAGCTTGTATAGACACTTCATATCGTGGGCGTTTAAGCTTAACACCTCTGCTTACCAGCTACCGTGAAAGCGGTAAATATTATAAGCTCTCCGACAATGGTAATTTATTTTCATTTATTTGAAAAAAATGCTATTTCATCTTTTTCCAATTATTTTCTGGTGAGGTACAACATAATTTGATATACTAAGCCTCATTGGACATTATTTTTCGTTGATATTTATTTAGCTTTGATTTTTTTCGGCAGTCAGAGCTATTAAACCAAAAATGGTTTTGTTTAATACAGGATACTATAATCCGAAGTGCTGTTGAATTTAGAATTGAATATGTGGTTTATGACTTTTTCAAAGCAGTAATAATTGGTTTTACCATTGTTGCTGTCTTGCAAAACTAATCGCGGTATGATTTGTAGTTCTAGCGGGTTCTCTGGTTCCGCTATTTCTTTGTTTGAAGGATTTTATAAAAGCTGACGACTTAATTGATACGTTTGATTTACTAGGAACTGCCTTCGTTTCAGCACTTAGACATTATATAGTGGACATGTGACATAGAAGCCACCAAGGATGGTTTTTGTTCTGAATCGAAAATGTAAAACCTGATTAAAATATGTTATATATGTACATATACTATAACAGTTTACAAATTTTGCAGATATGCTGACATTCTGCATCACCATACATGATAATGGTAACTTGTTAGAAATATGTGTCCCTTCCGGTACCCATGGATCTCATGTCGCAAACATTGCCGCTGCTTATTTTCCAAACGTTAGTTTCAATAAATCTTTTTCAATAAATAATAAATCTTTTTCTTAGTGAATATAATTTTTTATTCCTATGAAAATACTCTCCTGAGAGAAGACTTTTTTAATTATGTTTTTTTCAAAACAAAACGAGAATACATGCCCTTTCAGGAACCTGAGAAATCTGGTTTAGCTCCTGGAGCTCAGATCGTTTCTCTTTGCATCGGTGACCATCGTCTAAAAAGCATGGAAACCGGTACTGCGCTTACTCGGGCTGTAAGTTTTACTTTTTGTTCGGAAACCGCATTCCCAACTAACAATTTAAAGGGTGAATTTTTGGAAAGTTTTCAGCTAAGCCGCTGTGTTGATATGGGTGTACATCTCATCAATTACTCCTATGGTGAAGCAACGAATTTCCCAAATTCGGGGTAAGTGATTTATGGTTTTCATCATACTTTTTATTGTTATTCCATCCTTCTGGAAATTTATATATATTTGTATACGTTTTCTTTAATGTTCATTTTCAGTCGTATTATTGAGGCTTTAGAAAGGGTAGTATGGCGACATGGGATATTATTTTTTTCATCTGCGGGAAACTGTGGTCCAGCTTTATCAACCGGCGGGTGTCCGGGCACTACTACTTCAGTTATAGGTTTGTTTATGTTTCTTGAATTTAATATGCTCTAAATTTGTGCGGCTTGAATAGATTGTTAAATTTATCCTTAACTTTTCTATTTTTTCTGCAGGTGTTGGTGCATATCTTTCACCAACAATGATGGAAGCAATGTATAGTATGCGTGATAAGATACCTCCAACATTATATCCATGGTCATCCAGAGGACCAACGTAAGATAATATTGAGTTTTCCAAGTGGAAACTTATGATTTTCATTGAAAAGTTTTTCCTATTTATAAAAAGCTGTATCTGTTAACATTTACTTAACAAATTATTCAGGAATTTAGAAACTGATAAGTATTTGAAAGAAACAAATATTAAAAGGAAGGATGAGATAAAGTAAAACTAGAAAATGGTAAAATTAACTGCGAAAAATCAAGAGTCAAAGTAAAAATAAGTGTAAACAGGAGTGAGAAAATGGTCACAAATGAAAGTTTGTTAAACAGTCGCAGATGAACAGAACAGATGGGTATGTCCTAAAATATATTCAGGGCTGATGGAGCATTAGGTGTATCGATTTGTGGTCCAGGAGCTGCTATTACAAGTGTGCCTAAATTTACGCTGAAAGCGAGTCAGCTAATGAACGGTACCTCAATGAGTTCACCGAATGTTACAGGAACTGTTGGTAAGCATTGAGTTCCAAGTTTTTTTGCAGTCTGGTTCTGAAGTTTAATATGTTTTTGACGAAGTATAGTTTTAAGGTGTTACGCTAATTTTAAGGTGTTAAATTCTGCGTTTTGCAATGCCTATGGTTGTTCGTGCTGAAGCATTGATGGTGAACTTAGTGAGTAGAATTATTAAATGTACTTATGGATTCTGTTCATTAATCTTTTGTTTCTTTTCTTTTTCTTTCGACTGTGAGAATTTCACACATTTACATTTATTTTGTTTATAAAATACCTGATGGTTGTTGCTTTTTAGCATGTTTGCTTAGTGCTTTGAAGGCACAGAACATTTCATGGAATCCATATTTAATTCGATTAGCGCTGGAAAATACTGCCAGATTACCAAAAGATCAAAGTCGTTTTGCAGTTGGCAGCGGACTGTTGCAGGTTGCTTTCACTTTTCTCAGAAAATTTATGAGAATGTGCTTACAAGCTGTTCAAATTTGACATTGTCGTATTAAAATGAATTAAGTACAATACAGAAATCAAGTACAGAAATCTGCAATACTTGGTATTGAACAATACATAATACAGAAGTCTGCAATATCTGGTATTGAAAGTATTTGATATGTGCGGAGGTATTGCTTAACCCTGAATGAGTAAATTAATCCCTTGTAAATTTATATTCCAACTTAATTTTTTTTTCACAGGTAGATGAAGCGTACAATTTCATCCAGGAACATTATTCATTAATTTCGCCTTTGCTTACACATTTCAAAATTAAAATTAATGATGTTAGTGCCCGTGGAATTTATTTACGTGAGCGATATCAAACATGTTGTATTAATACATATGTTATCGCTGTGCAACCAAAATTCAAGCCGGAGTCAGGTTCATTATTTATTTATTTATTTGGTTGAAGCGGCATGCTTTGACCACTGTATTTTCTGGTAATCCTTACTTCATCTATTGTACTATATTATTATGTTACATAATGATCCTCTTCGTTCGTATAGATGGCTTTCATAATAAAAAAAATAATTTTCGTATTAATATAAATACTATTCCTCCATCGACCTTCTTCCAGTTCTGTGAAACTTTTGTTTTAGATAATAATGAAAAAATAGCATTCGAGAAACATTTAGTGTTAACATGTGCTGCATCTTATGTTAAATATCCAAAGCAATTCACATTAATGCATCAGGAGCGAGAATTCACCATATCATTGGATCCGGTCGGTCTTGAAGCTGGTATTGCTCATTTCACTGAAGTAAGTTAATAATTATTTAATTTATTATAATCTCATCACCAACACTTCTACTGTGACCAACAAATGAGCAGCAAAATATTAAGAAACTAGATGATCCCATTATCCATAATTTTTCGATTTTCCCTGAATAATATGAATAATATAATCGTGTTAATAATTCCTTTTCTTTCTGACGAAGGATGAAGCTATGTTTTATCTCCAGTAAATTCGTCCTCTATAATCTTTCAGTCTTCTGTGCTTCCATAAATCATGCCATTATATTTGCAGATATGTGCTTATGACTCGGAGAACATTTCACTTGGTCCATTATTCCGTATACCAATAACTGTGATTGTTCCGCTAAAGTTGGATGATAATTCGCGATATACAATAAAACGGAAAATGCAGTGTAAGCCAGCTAGTCCGGAACGATTTTTTATTCATGTGCCCGAAGATGCCGATTGGGCTTGTAAGTAATTTTGGTTTTTGTTTTCTAATTATATTTTGCATATGTATACGTTGTGTTTACACTTTTTGTTTTCTTCCACATATCCCTAACCTTTTTTTTCTCATATGTATATGTGTTTTTTTATTTTTTTCTCCTACATGTGTTTTTTGTGTAGTATTTTCAAGATGAGTCTAAACTTTCCGAGATCTCACAGGTTTGAAATTGGCATCATATGGAACTCAGTTACAAGCAAAATATATTGCACATATTGTCCAACTTTTGCCAGATACGGCGTACCGGTCAACTGAATTTCACAAAGTGAGAAGCTTTGTGATTTAGAATCTTATAAACTTTAATGAGACAACTCATGTTTATTTCATTTTATTTTAATGTTAATGTTTCAGTTGGTATTTCAGATTTATGCATGAATTGTTATTTGTGAGGTATTTTATCAACATCAAATAAATTGAAAAAAATAAGTAATAACTTATTTGTTTTTATTTGAAATTTACTGGGTTGCTTGGCGGTTTTCTAAGGGTATCTAAGATATTTCCATAACCTATCTTTAGTAAGGGATGGGATAATGAAGCGGAAGTCGGACTTAAATTCTCTTTAGACAATATCATTGGAACAAAATCAAGAAGAGCGGTTGGCTGTCGCGTTGCGCGGCGGGCGTACTATGGAGTTATGTATAACCAAATGGTGGTCTAATTTGGGCGAAGCGATAGTGGAAGCTGAATTAGTATTTCATGGTGCCGTCCCGTTACCTTCTGTATTAAACATGGTATAATCTTTCAAGATCTAATAATTATGAGTTCCATTGTGATCATGTGGTCATTTGTCACCATCCGCAGAGTACATTAGTTATATTTGCATGAGTAACACTACGATGCACAAACATTTTAATATAGACTTGCGAGACTAATCGACAACTATGTATTTGTTTAGAAATCTTAATTATAACTGAACCGATTTATTACGTTTCCAACAATCCTTTAAATTATATTACAATTTCAGTGTAGATTTTATTCTTTTTCAGTTTTCAACCGAAACACCATTCCATTTTAACGTACGTAATTCGATGATGAGATTTGAAGATGTGCGACCGGCCGTAACATTCCGTTATATCTGTCAACCATTTCGGCCAGCGGAAGCAAAAGTGCAACCTCTTGGACCACGCGATCTCTTTTTCACTGGCTTGCAAACTTTTCGTTTACTTCTCACTTATAACTTCTCTTGTTAGTTCTTTCTTCAACTCATTCTTATATTCAATGGAGAGTATATTGTTAGCAGACAATTATATTTATTCGTACCTTTTAAAACGAGTTAACGATTCCTTTCAATGTAAATCAGATCTAAAAGTTTCGACGATCAACTTCATCAGCATTAGAATTGGCATCAGAAATTGTGATTTCTGAGTGGATTCTTCAGATCACATTGCGTCTGATTACGTATGAAAAGCTGATGCATTGTTCCTTTCACATTAATTTTTTCTTCTATCAAACATTTCATGTATGCTCACTTCCTGTAACTCCCATTGTACACAAATATATGTTTTTTTAAGGGAAGGCTGGGGCACTCTTCCGTATTCCTCTTTACTTACCTACTAGTTAGCTTTAGTAACTTATCTACTAGTTAACTTTAGTCATTATATCTACTAGTTAGCTTTAGTTACTTTACCAATATGGCTCAACTACTTTAATCTAGAAGACGGAAAAAACCAGTGGATTGATTAATTGCAGAAATGTTTATGTTGAAATCAAGTAAAAATAACAATATTTTTTTATAGTACAAAAAGCAACCGATGCATATGTTGAATTGCCTGGCATAACCGACTACCTCTATGAAAGTGCATTTGATGATGTACATATTATGATTTTTTCTTCAACAAAGCAGTATATTGGAAGCAGTGCTCCATATCCAGATCGGGTTGTTTAAAAATTCATATTTGATGAAATGTTCAAAGTAAAGTAAATTTCAGTTAGCCAAATACCATAAATCTATTAGTGACAGATCTTTTTTTGGAAAAAAATGGTTTCATTCCAAGGGCATATACGAAGTAAATGAGTAAATTCCGAGTAAAGTGAAGTATATAAATGAGGCATGGTGTAATTATATTACTAATAATGTCAAATAACAAGTAACTACTTTCTACTTTAACCTACTTTGGAATAATTGGAGTGATTGATTTGAAGTAATTGATTAGTGATTCGAAAATGATTATTATAATTATTCAAATAATTATTCAAAAACATGAAAATAATTATTGAAACATATGAATATTATCACTATGCTGGTTTCTATGGCAACTTATAAGTTCTATCATTCCAGTACGTCCTGAAATTGGAGAAGGGCGAGTACCGCGTTCGTGTACAGATTAGGCATGAAGATGCATCACTATTAGAGAAATACCGTGAAACAATTTTAATTTTAAGGTTGAAGCTTCCATCAGCAATCAATTTGGATTGTTTTTCGGATTACGAAAGCGAGTTTTTTTTTCCTTTATGTTCAAATGAAATTTGGTCAAGTGGGCCGTGATATGTGTAGATTTGGAAATATAAAATGCTATTTTCGTTTTGAATTTATTGCATTTCTTCTCCCCATATATTTCTCTGATTTTCTTGTCATCGTTTTGTTTAAAAGGAAAGAAAAAAAAAGGATAATTTATTCAATTATAAGTGGGGAAGACTGTTTTATGTACGGCCTATGAGGACCTTTACGTTCATTTCACTGACTGATTCGTTGGCTTTTCGATTTGATTGATTAAATAAACAATAAAAATGCGAAATTGTTTTAAAAATTGAGGGTCTCCTCCCAATATTTACTTTACATCCAATGAAGAGTTATGATGTAAAACAATTTGCAAAATATTCAGGTGCAGTAAAAGGAGAAGGGAAAAAATTCGGTACTAGGAAAATGAAACCAGGTGAAATTAGCGTGATATACATTGGTCAAATTCCGGAAGATAAGTATGTTATTTTGGTTTTTTTTCTGTTTAATTATCCAACCGAATATGTTTTTTCTGGAATTTACAAATTAAAAAACTTGCTTCAGACTTCCTAAATTTGGCTGGCCTGGTTGCTACTTAACTGGAGCACTCTGTTTATCGGATGTGGAATTAGCTCGAAGTCATGTGCACTATCAAGTAACATATGCATTTCCAGAATGGAGTCATAAGCTGACCAAAACTGTTTCATCGGTTGCTTTAGCTAAAAAAAAGGAAGACTTTGCACCTGATTCTATGCAAGCTATGAATGGTATTGACATAGTTTTTATTGATTCATGTATCAGCTCAGGAACAGTAACAATTTATAACTAATTTTAACAAGTGATTTAATCATATTGATAGCATTCAAGCGAAATTAGTCTATCTATCGTATGTAGTATGGGATTTAGCAGGCTTAGTTCAGAATAGTTTCGTGCGGCTGTGATCAGACTAGGCTAGTACAATAAAATAAGATCCTCCAAACAAAGCAACTTGTTAAGGTGTTATGGATACAAATGATTTTTACTTATTTTTAATTGAATTTTTAATTGTTACAGAAGCATTGCGTGATTTTTACGTACAGTGGTTAGGAAAATTACAAGATGTTGTGGATGCAAATGATTTATATGGTCATTTGATTGCTGAGAACCCAAAAAATTTGCGAATCATGCAGGCTCAACTAAAACGCTTATTCGACCATAAGGTATTATCTTATTATTATTTTCGTAATATTGTTTTGGTCGAAAACAGTTTTTTTTCTTTCATTCATAAATTTTACATTTTTATTATTTTGAATAACGAATTATCATTAATAGTGATGACAAGTGCAGTCATCATGAATGCGAACATTCTTCGCTTTCATTAATGATGATAGGATCTACAAGATTTAATCTGTTTATTCAGAAGACTTTACACCTTTGAATGATTACAGTATAATCCAGAAAATCATAGTCGAATTCTGGAACTGGTAGACGCAATTCTAGATGCAGCCAAGCCGGATGAAGTTTTGAAATACTTGGGCTCTAAGCATGAAAACAGTGAAAGTGATATTATCATCAGAGCGTTAGTTTATTTCCTTTTAAATCATTTATAAGTAATCAAAGCTTCCAGAATTTATTGTGCTCAAATTTCATGTTTTTTTTCTAAACCTCCATGTGTTATAAAATCTGTTTATGAGTTCAACTTATTGCTTTTAATGTGATAAGTGATAGTTGGTCCTTGTTCTGGGGAGTTTCTTTAGGTGCTTATCTGATTCAGAGATATGGAAAGTCGTAAAAATGCCATTATCGATGCCTTAGTCATCAAAGCAGATACATTGGTTGATGAACATTTGGCAATTAGTACTCAGGAAATACCAAAGTCTTTCCGACATGGTTTGAATGTTGATGCCAGTACAAAGACCGACAAAACTTCATCAGCAAGTGGAGAGCTTACTAAAAGGTCATCAATCAACGATTTTCAGGTCTCTTGCAAATAATTCCAAGTAAAATTGTAGAAAAGAAATGAGGGTTCGTTATTAACTGCATCTTATAGCTTGGTTGTGCAGCAGATGTTATACTACATTCTTAATTAATTTGAAGATGATCTTGGTCTTAAGAGGTAGTCTCGATGTCATCATTATTTTGGCGCTCCTTGCAAAATTTAGAATTTAGTTTTTCCAAATCAGAAAGAGTTTTCTATATCATTCAATGATATCATTTTTCTTTCGGATGAAGTGTTTAATTGAACGAAGTTAAACGATCATTCCATTAGCTTCTTATGCCGTGAACAGTTTTAACTGCGTTATAATGATCGTCCAACACTTTGATAACTTTACGGCTAGTTTGGAACTTCCGTGAATGACTATCACCGTATTTTGATATTTTTTGGTTAACTTGGCGAACCACAGCCATTAACTATATGAGTCCCTGACAATTGGCACTATTCGTTTTTTGTAAGACATAATGCTAAATATACGCTGAATAGAATTTGGTGCCGATCTTAAGGAAGTATTAAGCATTGGGTGCCATATATTATGGAATGTTTTGAATAATGTGTTTAGTTTTAATGGTAACTACTCGTAAATTAGTTTTCGACTGTCAGTTCCAAAATATTTTGTGAGAAAATGGAAATGATTTCAGTTGATAGAAGATACGAAGAAAAAGGATACAGAAGACGTTGGTGTTGGTGTTGATGGAGCAGGCGATTTGCTAGCAACACTAGAATCGGAACAAGTAACTGATATTTTACCAACAGCTATCGAGACTGCAGAATCGGATCAGACAGAAAGAACTGTATGTTTTTTTTCCCCTTTTTTCTTATCATTCGATTTTCTTTTTCTGTTATTTTTTTATCTTTTTTTAGTCATTTTGTCATTTTTGTAATCATTTTTTTATCATTCAATTTAATTTATTTTTATTCAATTTCATTCAATTTAATGATTCAGTTTAATGTACAAGCTCCATTTTGTGATGATGGCGTCTCTGTCGAATACTTCTCGTAATGCTGTGAATAAAGAAAAATTAGACTGATACCCCGGAATTACACTGCAATATTTATTTCTGAATTGTTTTTTATTCCCTCAGTCTATACCATTCGTCGTCAGGTATGAATTAAATTCTCTGGATTGATGTATATTCTAACTATTTTTCCAGGTAAAAGTTACGCTGAAAGAAATCGATGCTGCATACTATGAAGTTTTAAAATGGTTGGAAGCGACTGATCCAAAGGTTATTTATTTTGTCGGAGTTTTGTACGCAGCCAAAACAGCAGATAGATTCAAATGTATGAACGAGTCCTCATTCTAAACCGAAGATAGTGTTTGACGAAGTCCGTTGATGTAGTTGCACCATTAGAGAAATTTTGGTGTTTCGATGTTTCTTTAAATGTTCTATTTTAAAGATATGAAATTTATGTACGAGGCAGCATTATGTCATCGCTCATGATCTGTTAAAAAATGGAATGCAAAGTGCCTAGATCTTCCTAATCAAGATCAGTAGGGAAACAATCGCTTAGACGTTAAAATTTTGTTTCAAAATGATGAGACATGTGTAACAGATGTACAGTGTTTCATTTCGGTTATTTACTGTTAGTAATTTTCTTGCTTCGTATTAAAAAGGAAACCTCTCACTCTAGATAGCACAGAACTCTCGTTGATGATATAAAGATATAAAAATTTATTGTTCTAATGCGTATACCACAACGATTAAAATGAGATGAGCTCTTCGAAAAAGTTTTATAAGTCACTAGTGTGAAATCTTGACATGAGGATTTGTTTTGTAGGTTCTGATATTATCTGCAAAACAAGCTGTTGCACATACCCATTATGGTCGAGCACTGAAATATTTGAGAAAGGCGAGTGATGATAAAAATTTCGCAAATAATTTGATTGTGGAAGCGGCAGCTGTTGAGGTAATGATATAGTTTCTCCTTTTGTACTTGTGAGAAGCGAATTTCAGTGAAATTTAAATTTTTTTATTTAAATGTACGATCCATCTTCGGAGGTAAGTAAACATAAAGAATATCAAATGATGGATTTATTATTTACTTAATGGGGATAATTTGCGAGTAGAGACAATTTTCTCAATTGATGATATTTTTTGATAATAAAAAATGATTGATCTATGCCCGTAGATCCTGCGTTTTTAATGGTAGCTAGTCTGTCAAGATTTATTGCTGTCTTTGTTACTCTCGAACAGATAAGATAGCATATGGAAGAAGTATTCATTCTCAAAGGATTTCACCTTTTCTCTTTTGCTCTTCCCTTCTTTTCTACCAAATGTCAGTTGACACTTTAATAGCTATGAATGGATCACGGTCATTAAGAAATTTAAATTATAAAGGTAAGCAAAGATAAGCAAGCCAGCAATAAAGTAATCAGATCTGGACTATAAAAGAACTAGGAGGGATTTTTTTGAATAGCAAAGAAATAACGAGGATGAAAAACCTTTAAAATAAAAAACTTTAGCTTGGAAATTCTACCAACTTGTTAATTTAGCTTGTGGAACAACTCGGCTGGGTGCATATTGCAAACAACATGCGGAACCAAATGATCGTCAAATATCGCAACGACTATCGTCTTTTTTGAAATGTAGCGTAACCATTATTGACACTCAGTACCTTAACCCTTTTTGGAAGTGGAATTTACATGAAATACGCGGAGTGTATTTTCGCATTCGTTTTAACTTAACCCTGGAACTGATGATAATAGTGGTATTTCCTAGTTTTCTTTTTTTGATATCTCAAAGGGAGATTTCATTGATTTTTGTGGAAGGTGAGAAGTTTTTGGTTTAAGTGAAAAGTTTTTCTTTACTGTTCTCTTTCACATGCCTGCTTTTGAATCACTGTCGGATGAGAAGTCTCATATCATCAGTTTAATTAACAATGCGCTTTCCTCTTGTTTTAGCTTTTCTCGTTTGCTCTCTTGTTTTTCGGTAAACTGACTGATTTCATAACGGCACTTTTGTTCAGTGGATATCCGTAGACTGATTTCATAACGGCACTTTTGTTCAGTGGATATCCGTATACAATCTTAAAGGGTGATACTATATCAATAGTTGTGTATGGCA